ACTCCCCGGGGAGTAACACATCCCTAGGGCAGTATTACTCCCCCCCACCGACGGGGGGAGTAACACTTCCCTAGGGTTGTGTTACTCCCCGGGGAGTAAAAGAAAGCTGCGGAGAAATTTTACTCCCCCATCACAGCTGGGGGAGTAAAACTGCCCTTAGGGTATCGTTACTCCCCGGGGAGTAACATTACCCTACGGGCAGTTTTACTTCCCCCTAACAACGCAATAAAACTAAACGTCGTTGGAATTCCGAAAAAAAATTGTGGTAACTCAGACATATACAGATGACCGGGAAGGAGGGCAAACAATCGCACTGTGCCCCCGTAACAGAGAAATAAGCTACAAAACTGATGAAAGAAGTGATTATTTATTTTTTTTTATTTTAATGAACAAGCACTGTTGAGACAAAAGTAATTTGACCAACTTATCATTTGTTTTAATGAATCACCATTGAGTCACAAATTTCACAAAACTATGAAGTGAATCATGTACACAAATTTTACAAAACTGATAAAAAGTGATCATTTATTGAAATGAACAAGCAATAATAAGCATGAAGACACAAATTTTCCGCTAAGACAAATGATCCATAAATGTTTAAAATGACCTATTTATGTATCTATTTTAATGAACAAACACTATTGACACAAAAGTAATTTGACCAACTTATCGTTTGTCTTAATAAATCACCATTTAGTCACAAATTTCACAAAACTAAGAATTGAATCATGTACACAAAATGTTACAAAACTGATAAAAAGTTATCATTTATTGAAATGAACGAGCAATAAGCATGAAGACACAAATTTTTCGTTAAGACAAATGACCCATAAATGTTAAAAATAACCTATTTATCTATTTTAATGAACAAACACTATTGACACAAAAGTAATTTGACCAACTTATCGTTTGTCTTAATAAATCACCATTTAGTCACAAATTTCACAAAACTATGAAGTGAATCATGTACACAAATGTTACAAAACTGATAAAAAGTGATCATTTATTGAAATGAACAAGCAATAATAATATGCATGAAGACACAAATTTTCCGTTAAGACAAATGATCCAAAAATGTTAAAAATAACCTATTTATCTTGCCTTTGCTCGTAAACGAGGACATAACTTCTCTCCGAGAGGAGAAACTCCTTGGTGGTTTGTGAAACCTTAAAAAAAAGATAACTATTTGTGTCACGTGGTAATGAACTTTCTAAATAAATCTTAAATGCGACTAATTACCGTTCCATCATTGAAGAGGCGGTAGCCAGTTGAGCACCTCATACCGCACGTGTAGTGCCCATCTGAAGCATTCGGGCCTAAATGGCTGATTTCACCCACAAAGTCATACATGTGAGGAACCTTTACGTTGGGTGATAAGTAGTCTTTTAGATCAAGGTGCGTGGGTGCTGAAATGACTTTGTTGTTCTTTGGCATGTTTGCAGAAAACCTTAAAGGAAATAAAGAACTCTTGTAGTAATTCTTAAAAAAAAACACACACACACACAAAGGAACCTATTATTTTATGTCAAACAGGATCAGTATCCTTGCTGAGTTTTCCTACTACAAACCTTTGTTGGTATATGATCAAAACTCGGGGGAGAGTTTGCATGGTCATAACAGTGTTAACTGTCACTGATTTAAAGCAACCGTTACAATTGTAGTCTGCAACCTCCACAGGTGCCATAGCCAGGTCCAGACCATTCTTCACTGATTTAATCCTGGCCACGGGGTAAGTTATTTGCAACGTGTGGTCAAATGTGACCGAAGTTAATTGGCAACTGGTACACTTTGCTGCATAAAAAAATAAACATTAAAAAAAATCCTTACAGTAAATATACCTTTTTCTGTCTTACTTTCTGTTCTTATGTAGAATCCAAAGATTTGACAAACTGGTGTTGTTTTCTGGCTGTGTATGTCAATGCTGTAAATTGAAGGAAAAAAACAAATTGTCATTTACTTTTTAAAAAAGCGTAAATATTTTTCTACCAAAAAACTTACTCTTCCAAGAAAAATCTCTCAATATACTCCTGTTGTAGTCTTGGAAGCATTAGGTTCAAAAATTCTGTAGCGTCCTCCATTCGGCCGTCTTCAAAGTCCTTCCAAAAGTCTGGAAGAATAAAAAAAACAATTCTGTTTTCCTTAAAGCTGCAAACATACGCAGTGTCGTCAAAACACTTACCTTTTATAGCCATAATAAGTTCAACCGGTTCCACAACACCCGCTCCTTTCTGGCAATCGGAGCGAAGTTTGCCTAGCGCACATGTCAAGCATTTCTCTTGCAGACATGTAAGCCTATGATCTTCATCCTCTTCAAGGAATGCAGCAAACGGACCAATGTGCATTAACCTAACCTCCCGAACATTTATTTAATTTTGCGGTACGAATTGTGGTGGCTGTATGAACAATTAATACAGACTGGTACTATCCTTCGGACACCCTCCTGCCAAAGCATGAAACCAACAACACACACACAACACAATCTTTCTTACTTTGTCGGAGTCAACACAACACGGAATGTTGTTCACGATGCTCAACTGTCCAGCACAGTGAGCTTCCACAAAGCGCCATGTGCAGCGCTGCCAGTCACTCCCGCCGCTCGTTTGAATGGGATCGCCGTCGTTTACGTATGTTCTCCAAGAAGACGTAATTTCGTTGTTTCTGGCAGAAGTGAGAGAAGAGATCCGCTCCAACCCCTCTCCTTCCGCCAGCCGGGATGTCTCCTCGTGCAAACACTCTCCGCACGCAGCCTTCGCTGCGGCGGTGAGCCTGGCCGGCCCGGGCAGGCTGCCTCCGACGTGCGGAGGTTCGACACCACCCGGCGGCAAATTTTTTTTGGAACAAAATGCAAACTTAGGGTACGCTAAGACAGGCCACGGTGTCAGCATGACAGTACTACCGCGTTTACAGGAGTTGGGGAGTCAGAAAGCCGCCAAAACAGCGTGGCTCTGGATGGTGTCGATCCACCGCCCGCCGGCCAGCGTGGCGACACCTACGGCAGGGCGGCGGGTCAGGTGGATGAGGCCGCCTTGGGTCGGATAGGAGCAGTTCAGATCGGATGGAGTCTCGTCAGCATGGGGTCCGTTCGGGTCCGCGGGTCACTTTCCTCACCTCTGGTTTCTGTAGTACTTTGGAGGACTGTCACTGTCGTGCCACCACGCTTGCGCACTAGTGCACCGACTCGTGCCCTACTCAATGGTTGCAAAGTGCCCTATCCTCTACAGACAGAAAAGGTTTTCACAATAGTTGGTGACTTTGAGCGTGTTCCATATCGCAGGCGTTAATCCAGAAACGAGTTCAGGGAAGGATGTCGCAAAAGTTGCCTAATTACAGGGGCACAGTGCGATTGTTTGCCCTCCTTCCCGGTCATCTGTCTGGGTCTGAGTTACCACAATTTTTTTTTCGGAATTCCAACGACGTTTAGTTTTATTGCGTTGTTAGGGGGGAGTAAAACTGCCCGTAGGGTAATGTTACTCCCCGGGGAGTAACAATACCCTAAGGGCAGTTTTACTCCCCCAGCTGTGATGGGGGAGTAAAATTTCTCCGCAGCTTTCTTTTACTCCCCGGGGAGTAACACAACCCTAGGGCAGTGTTACTCCCCCCGTCGGTGGGGGGGAGTAATACTGCCCTAGGGATGTGTTACTCCCCGGGGAGTAACTTAACCCTAGGGATATGTTACTCCCCCCCCTCGGGAAGGGGGAGTATCACTGCCCTAGGGATGTGTTACTCCCCGGGGAGTAACCTAACCCTAGGTATTTGTTACTCCCCGGGTCGGCAAGGGGGAGTATCACTGCCCTAGGGTTGTGTTACTCCCCGGGGAGTAACGATACCCTAGGGATTTGTTACTCCCTGACCCATCCGGTGGGGGAGTACAACTGCCCTTAGGGATAGTGTACTCCCCCTAGGGGGGGAGTAACACTGCCCTAGGGTTTACTTACTCCGGGAGTAAGCTATCCCGGGAGTAAAACAACACGGTTACACCCCCACTCGCGCTTTGTGTATCATTCTGTATGCTCAGTACGATTCCACCATGGAGATTAGTTCGTCTCGGCAGGTCCGCGTGTATTGACGATGAGGGACTTTACGTCGGCTCTGTCTACGTTGGATATTTTGGAAGTTGCGCGAGTGCATCCGGTTTTGCAGCGATGCCACGAGGGCACATTTCCTCTCGATGCACTGCCTACCCTGACTTTAACAGGAAAACGGCCCCGACATATTGTATACAACACATCGCCCTCCACGGACCCTCCGGGAAGCCACTGGATATCCATTTGGATGGCTGCTGATATGTCTGCCGAGGTCATGGACAGTCTGGGAAACCCGATTGTACAGCCCGAGGTCCATGACTTTTTGCGACGACACGCGAGTCGCACTGTACATAATGTTAGCCAGATTCAGGATAAAACGAGTAATGCATGTGGATTGTACTGTCTCAGCCATGGGCTGGCGCGCGCGCGGGGGCAGACCTTCGCAACGTGGTTGTCGCAGTTTTCAAAATGTGCTCTGAATAACGATCACTTAATGTATTGTGAATTCATGCGAGAGATGGCTCTGCCGTCGCTTTTCACGCCGCGTCTGCGCAACTGGAAGGACGCCATTGCGCGTGCGTGTCGCACCGCACGGTGCACGGCAGAGCCGGGATCGGGGTGGGCTCTAGTGGGCTTGGCTCAGCGAGCCCATGCGGGCTACCCAAGCCCACTAAGAGCCCACGATCCGTAGTGGGCTTCTCAAGCCCACTAGGCGTCTCTAGGGTCAACCTCTGTCCACTAGGTGGCAGCACCTGTCGGGACGAGTTGCGACAGGCACAGGCGAGGGGAGAGGCGGGGCGGGCGACGGCAGCAGCCGAACGGGCGACGGCGGCAGCCGAACGGGCTGCGGAACGTGGGCTCTACGTGGGCTTTGTCGTTCGGAGTGGGCTTTTCGTGGGTCGGGCTCTAAGCGGGTGCGCTCTACGTGGGTCGGGCTTGTAGTGGGTTTGGCGGAAAAGCGCGAAGCCCACTAAAGCCCACCCCGATCCCGGCTCTGGTGCACGGCCGTCAGTCGTCTCCGGGAGCCTCAGCAATCAACATGGAAGCGCAGACCGAGAAAGCGGCGCCGTTCGAGGTCCCTCTGGACATAGCAATGCAGTGCTTCACCGACGCCAACGACACGGAGATGTTGGAGCGATACATTGCGGAGCTAGAGCGACAGCAGCAGCAGCAGGGAGCAGGCGTGTCCAAACCGACCAGCTCTGAAGGTAACACCGCATTTTTTCTCGGATCGGATTTATTCCGTTCTTTTGTGCTGCAAATTTACACCAGAATTAAATGTTGCAGTGATCGCACCGATGCGAAAGAAGGCCGGCCCACGACGCGCACAGCAAACCAGGAAAGCGCCACGGACTGCAAAACGCACCGCGACACCAGCGAAGCCCCGGCCGGCGAAGCTAGCGGCCCCTTCAAAACAACACCGCCAGTTTTGCCGTCTCCCAAATAATTTGTGCCATCTTTTAAAATTGTCTGCGTGTTATTCGTGTCTGCATTCCCATGTCGTGTCCGATAGTACATCTTTGGGAAATATATAGAATAAGAATAGGACCATAAGTGTGTGTAAGTGTGTGGAAAAATGTCAAAAAAATCAATAAAATACTTGTAAATATGTATCTGTGCGAGTCATCATTTAACACCGCGCACCGCAGACCCCTCCTGAGAGAGCCTAAATTGCTCACCCACCCTCAGCGCGCACCCCACCCCAGCCCGCGCTGCGCGTCCCTCCCCTCCGTCGAGAGGGGTGAGATGAATGGGGTAGATCCTCCTGCGAGAGGGGTGAGAATGGGTGAGGGTGGACCTTCCCCACACCCGGAGCGCATCCGCAGCGGTTGGCTGTTGAAAAAGGGGTGCCTTTCTGTTTTCGTTCACAAATAAATGAGGTTAGGTCCGTGCGTGCAGCCTATGCCCCATTCGATTTTTAAGAAAAACCCCTTTCACATTTTACCTTGGTATTAATTTATTTATTTAATTATTTTATACATATGCACCTTTCACTTTCTCGGCGAAAAGGCTTACGTTGGGTTACGCCCGAAGTGTCACACCCCATCCCAACCTCAACCCCCACCCCTCACCGCGGAGAGGGGTGACAGAATCTGGCACGAGGGGTGACAAAATCGGGCAAGAGGGGTGCCAAAATCAGGCATGCCAGAATCTGGCAGCTTCAGATCTTCAGTGTTCTCGTACCGGCCTTTTTATACACACAACCAGTTATATTAACTTCAGTGAAGTTAAAGGAATCGTCTCATTAAGTCCATTCATTCATTCCCTCACCGCTCAAAACCTGAGTCGTCTCTTTGAACCCAATATCGATTCAAACTCTATTAGGATTAAATATACACAACCATACATTGATTCAATTACTAAACAATTGTTAGTACTTTTGCACTTTTGTCAGCTTGCAGCATTGCAATAGAATGTACTTCTCGAGTCCAAACTAAGTATGCCTGCTAATTTTAACACAAGTTATTTATGCATTTCCCTGATTTCCTACACTATGAAAATATAAAAAAGAGGATGACACTATAGAAAATGAAACAAGTAGATGCCCACAATACAAAAAGTCAAAATAAAAACATTCTTTTTACAATGCTCTGTCAAAGTGCGCTGACCTGAAGAAGATTCCCCTCGAACGGGGGAACGAAACACGTAAATCATTTTCACTGCCATTCTCCATATTTCGCTGTGTTGATACTCCAAAAGGGTTTTTATCATTCTAGAATATGGAAAAACTATGGCCAATCTCATTTCCAAACCCTTCTGCTCGTTATTTTGTTGTATTTCCTTATTTGCTTCTGTCCCGTATTTGAGAGCCGCGGCCGCAGGTATGAGAAATTGGTGAGTGCTGAGTGCTGCCAACCTAGTGATCAAGCCACTTAGCTCTGCACAAAAATTTAAAAAAAAAATGTATCAAGTTGATGCAAGAGTATCAAAACGGTTGTCAGGCGGTCACCGTTCAACCCTCCACAGAGGAATCTGGCTGACAAGACCCTGGTGGAAGTGTGCATGCACAGTATGCACATTTGGGGTGCATGCACATGGCGGTGCATGCACCGGGCTGTGCATGCACCGGGCTGTGCATGCAGAGGGTCTGGGTAGGGTGTGCATGGTGTGCATAGGGCAGAAATTAATCATTACAATAGACATTAAATCATAAAAATCTAAAATTTTATTATATTCTGAACATATAAAAATTTGACAATGATAAACCATTTAGAAAATATTGCAGAAATTCTGGTAGAGTATTCAAAATATCAATAGTGTCAAGAAATAAAAAATGTACAAAATATGTTGGCCACTTTAAAACTTAAACTTGCTTCGACTTCTTTTACGGGATCTTCAAAAGAATGAACCACTCAACCAGAATTCAGTTGATAAAATCCGTTGCTTTCTTGCAGTTCTTTGAACAGGAAGAAAAACAAATTAGTCAATAATTGTACGTATGAGTGAGTGAGTCAGTCAGTCGGATTGGGGCTATATAGGTTCTTGATCTCGCGGAGCGAGCGAGCGAGCGAACGCGCGGTAGCGCGTTCGCGAGATCGCTCGCAAAGCGACTAAATACGGCTCGAAATCTCAGGCGTCCGTTAGTAACGCTACGACTGTCACTGGTAGCGTCATTAAAAACGCCGATGACAGCAGAGATCAAATTTCAAGGGTCAATTAGACACGATAACAGCGTCACTGACAGCGTCACTGACAGCGTCACAAGAAGCGTCACTGACACCAGCGTCACTGACACCAGCGTCACTGACACCAGCGTCACTGACACCAGCGTCACTGACACCAGCGTCACTGACACCAGCGTCACTGACACCAGCGTCACTGACACCAGCGTCACTGACACCAGCGTCACTGACACCAGCGTCACTGACACCAGCATGACAGCACCGATGTCAGCAGGGCTAAAAATTCACGTGTCCGTTAGTAACGCTAATAGCGTCATTAACAGCGTCACCGACACCAGCTTTACTGACATCAGCGTCACTGACACCAGCGTCACTGACACCAGCGTCACTGACACCAGCGTCACTGACACCACCGTCACTGACACCAGCGTCACTGACACCAGCGTCACTGACACCAGCGTCACTGACACCAGCGTCACCGACACCAGCGTCACCGACACCAGCGTCACTGACACCAGCGTCACTGACACCAGCGTCACTGACACCACTGGCACCACAGTGACACCACACGCGTGACAGCACAGATGTCAGCCAGCAGGGCTAAAAATTCACGTGTCCGTTAGTAACGCTAACAGCGTCACTGACATGGTCACTGACAGCGTCACTTGCAGCGTCACTGGAAGCGTCACTGACAGCGTCACTGACAGCGTCACTGGCAGCGTCACTGACGACGTCACTGACAGCCTCACTGGCAGCGTCACTGACGACGTCACTGACAGCGTCACTGGCAGCACCACTGACGACGTCACTGACAGCGTCACTAGCTGCGTCACTGACAGCGTCACTGACAGCGTCTCTGACAGCGTCACTGACAGCGTCACTGACAGCGTCACTGACAGCGTCACTGACAGCGTCACTGACGGCGTCACTGACAGCGTCACTGACAGCGTCACTGACAGCGTCACTGACGGCGTCACTGACAACGTCACTGACAGCGTCACTGACAGCGTCACTGACGGCGTCACTGACGGCGTCACTGACGGCGTCACTGACAGCGTCACTGACAGCGTCACTGACAGCGTCACCGACAGCGTCACCGACAGCGTCACCGACAGCGTCACCGACAGCGTCACCGACAGCGTCACCGACAGCGTCACCGACAGCCTCACCGACAGCGTCACCGACAGCGTCACCGACAGCGTCACCGACAGCGTCACCGACAGCGTCACCGACAGCGTCACCGACAGCGTCACCGACAGCGTCACTGACAGCGTTATTGACAGCGTTACTGACACCGTAAATGAGTAAAGTAAGATCTGTCACGAGCTCGTTAGGTTAGGATTGGTTGGACCATTTAGTTTGAAAATAAAACCTATCGAAAGAAGGGAATGATCTTTTACGAGAAGAGCAAGATCTGTCACGAGCCCGTTAGGTAAGGTAAGGATTGGTTGGACCATTTAGTTTGAGAATATGATCTGTCGATAGTAGAGAAAGATCTGTCATGAACAGAGTAACATCTGTCACGAACCCGTTGGGTAAGGTTAGGATTGGTTCGACCGTTTAGTTCATATATGTGTCGACCGTAGGGAAAGATCTGCCACGAATAGAGTAAGATCTGTCACGAGCCTGATAGGTTAGGTTAGGATTGGTTTGACCATTAAGTTGGAGAATAAGATCTGTCACGAGTAGAGTAAGATCTGTAACGAGCACGTTAGGTTAGGTTAGGATAAGGTTAGGTTAGATTAGGTGACAGCGTCACTGACACCGCGTCACTGACAACAGCGTCACTGACAACAGCGTCACTGACAGCGTCACTGACAGCGCCACTGACAGCGTCACTGACAGCGTCACTGACAGCGTCACTGGCGGCGTCACTGACGGCGTCACTGAAAACGTCACTGAAAACGTCACTGACGGCGTCACTGACGGCGTCACTGACGACGTCACAAACAGCGTCACTGACATAGTCACTGACAGCGTCTTTGACAGAGTCACTGACAGCGTCACTGACAGCGTCACTGACGGCGGCACTTACGGCGTCACTGACAGCGTCACTGACAGCGTCACTGACACCACCCGTACAGAAAAATTCAGTACGCTTTTGGGTCGTTTTTAGGTCGCTTTTAGGACGCTACGCTGTGGACTAGGCCGCTTTTAGTGCGCGGACGAGGGGACTGGTCCGCTTTTAGTCACCGAAAGCGGGGGGACTGGGTCGCTAATAGTCCGCGTCACCGGGACTAGGGCGCGAATGGGTCGCGGCCCTTCCGCCCCTGAAGGCGCACTAGTCCGCTAAAGGTACGCGTGCCGGAGGACTGGGTCGTTTTCGATCACCGCTCGAGCGAACTAGTCCGCTAAAAGTACGCAACGAAGGCTGAACGCGGACTCCTTGCGCCCTAGTCCGAACCGGAAGGGTACTCAAAGCGCACTAGTTCGTTCTGCCGCCCAAGTCAAAGGCGCACTAGTTCGCTTTTAGTACGCTGCCGTGGCCGGTAAGGGCTTAAGCCTAAGTAGCTGGTGTGAGGATCTGAGGGGCGTTATTTAATAGTGTATTTAGATTGATGAGAAGTCCTACTCCGCGAGCCGTAGAGGTAGGCAACCCCTCTTGGCCATCACGGCGGCAGCCCACTGGGCGCCTCGAGATAGGCAACACCTTTGGCACGCTGGCTGCTGAGCCGCTGTGCTGAGGTCACACAGCTGATCGAACTCCAAGAGCAAAACCGAGCATGGACTTTCTTACCTAAGATGCGCTTCATGATTCGCCTCGCATCACAATTAGCATAATCAAAAACTCTGTTTTTATGACAGAAGCAGGTCATGCGTTGGAAGTCTCATTGTGCGATGCGAATAGGGTTAGTTTCCTTTCGAGACTTTGGCTCTAAGGAGCAATAAATATGATCAAATAGACTACTTAGACCATTGGCACACCACAAGATCTGGCTTTAAATTTAACCAGAATATTTTTGCTACAGGAACAATGTGACATATCGAGCCTCATATTTTGGGTTACTTTGTAAGAAAACTAAACACAAGCCAGATTTTGGATTTATTTT